CGTCACCTCTCTGGGCTTCAAGATCTCTCTGTAAATTAACAGCAATACATTATTTAACAGGATGGTAATGAAGATTAGATGATACAACCAACAGAGCTAGAACTTGGAGGATGCTCAATAAATAATAGTTTCCTTTCTTTGAACTCTCAGAGCCCTTTGTCTGAGCTTTCAGCCTTGCATTATAGGTATCTGTGTCATTCATTCATTCATTCAACAAATGTTTAATTGAATATGAAGGCCATGAGTGTTATGAAGAAAACTAAAGCAAGATAAGGGAGGAAGAGTGTGTGTTGTATCGCTAGCTTCTTTAAGATGGTTAGGAAAGACTTCGCTGATAAGGTCTTATTTAGGCAGAGAACTGAGGGAGCTAGCCTTGTAGATATCAGAGAAGAATACTGGGGGATGAGCACAGTTCTTGAGGCAGGAACATGCTGGTGTATTTGAGGAACAGCAAGGAAGCCAAGGTGGTCAGATCAGAGCGAGCAAGAGAGGGAGGGAGTGAGAGCAGAGCCATAGGAGGGGCCACATCACATGGGGCCTTTGTAGACTGTGGTAAGGACTCTTGTTTCTTGGTGAGGTGGGAAGACAATGGAGAGTGCTGAGCAGAAGAGTGAAAGAACTAACATAGGTTTTAAAAGGATCCCTTTGGCTGCTGTGTCCTGTGCCATTGACTGTACACAGGGTAGAAATAGGGAGATTGATTAGGAGGCTATTGCAGTAATTGAGGCAAGAGACTGCGTGCCTTGGACCAGAGAGGCCAATGGAGGTAGAAAGAATGATCAGATTCTGAATATATATTGATTTGAAGGTAGAGCCAAGAGTACTTACTGGGGTGTGAGAGAAGGAGCTAATGACAAGGGTTTTGCCTGGGGAACTGTGAAGATGGAGTTTCCATCACTGAGATGAGCAAATCTACGGGAAAAGCAGGTTGGGTGGGCGGAGCGGGAACTAAGAATTTGGGTTTGTGTTTACCATTTCCCATGCTGTTCATTAGTGTCTAATGATTTGATTTTCCCTTTTGTATTGTTTCCTTTAAGCCTGAGAACTTTCTTTAGCATTTTTTGTAGTGAAGATTTGCTAATGGTGAATTTTTTTAGTTTTCCTTTATCTGGAAATTTCTTTATTTTACCTTCACTTTTGAAGGATAATTTTGCTGGATATAGAATTCTGGGTTGAAAGTTTTTACTTTCAGTTCTTTAGAGATACTGGTCCACTGCTTTCTTTTCATTTTTTGTTTTTCCGGCTTTATTAAGGTATAATTGACAAAATTGTAAGATATTTAAAGTGCACAACATGATGATTTGACATATGTATACATGGTGAAAGGACTCCCCCATCAAGTTATTTAACATATCCATCACCTTGCATATTTACCTTTTTTGGGGGGGGGGGGCGAGGTGAGAACATTTAAGTTCTCCTCTCTTAGAAAATTTCAATTATGTAATGTGGTGTTATCAGCTTTAGTCAGCTTGCTGTACAGTAGATTTTCAGACCTTACTCATCTTTGTACTCTTTTACCAACTTGTTTCCCCACTCCCCAACCCCTGGCAACCACTTTTCTACTCTCTGTTTCTATGAGTTCAACTCTTTATTTTATGTTCCACATGTAAGTGATACCATGTAGTATTTATCCTTCTTTGTCCAGCTTCTTTCACTTAGCATAATCCCCTCCAGGTTCATCCATGTTGTTGCAAAAGATAGGTTTCCTTCTTTTTTAAGGCTGAACAATATTCCATCGTATCTAGATACCACATTTTCTTTATTCAGCTGTTGATGGATACTTACATTATTTTCATACCTCGGCTATTGTGAATAATTCTGCAATGAACATAGGAGTACAGATATCACTTCAAGATGACGGTTTCGTTTCCTTCAGATATATACCAGAAGTGAAATTGCTGGATCATATGGTAGTTCTATTTTTAATTTCTTGAGGATCTTCCATACTGTTTTCCACAGTGGCTGTACTAGTTTACATTCCCACCAAGAGTGCACAAGGGTTCCCTTTTCTCCACATCCTCACCAGCGTTTTTCTCTTGTCTTTTTGATAATAGCCATTCTAACAGGTGTAAGGGGGTATCTCACTGTGCTTTTGATTTGCATTTCCCTCATGATTAGTGATGTTAGCATCTTGTCATGTATGTTTGGCCGTTTGTATATCTTTTTTGGAAAAGTGTCTATTCAGGTCCTCTGCTCATTTTAATTGGGTTATTTGGGTTTTTTTCTATTGAGTTGTATGAAATTCCTCGTATATTTTGGATATTAACCCCTTATTGAATATTGGCCTCCATTGTTTCTGATGAGAAGTCAGGGTCATCTGAGTTCTTTTTCTCTCTCCTACAAGTAATGTATCTCTTTTATGACTACTTTCAAGATTTTCTCTTTATCTTTGGTTTTCAGCAGTTTGACTACAATGTGCCTAAAGGAAGTTTTCTTTGTATTTGTCCTTCTTGGGATATGCTGGGCTTCCTGAATATGTAAATTCATGTTTTCCACCAAATTTGTTGGAAATTTTGGCTATTTCTTCAATTTTTTTTTTCTGTCTGCTAGTCTCTCCCCTTTCCTTCTGGGATTCCAGTTACACATGTTGGACATTTTGATATTTCTTAGGCCTCTGAGACCCTGTTCCCTTTTTTCCAACCTCTTTTCCTCTTTGTTCTTCAGATTGAATACTTCCTACTGATCTAACTTCAAGGTCATTGACTTTCCCCTATTAAGTCTATCCAGTGAATTTTTTATTTCAAATATAGTCTTCTTCAGTTCTAGAATTTTCATTTAGTTTTTTTAAAAATAGAGTTTACTTTTGCTGAGATTTCCTATCTTTTCATTTGTTACAAACATATAATCTCTAACCTCATGAAGCATAGTTATAACAGCTACTTTAAAATTATGATCTGCTAATTCTAACATCTGGGTCATCTCCAAGTAGTCTCTGTTGATTGTCTTTTCTCTTGAGTGTGGGTCACCTTTTCCATTTTCTTTATGTGTCTAGTAATTTTAGGGTATTCTGGACATTGTGATTGTTAAGTTGTGAGACTCTGGATTCTGTGACATAGCTCCCCCAAAATGCTGATTTGTTTGTTTGTTTCAGGAGGCAATTAACTTAATTGAATCAAACTGTAAACTGTCTCTTGGGCCACAGTATAAGTCTCAGTTTAGTTCTTTGATTTTTATCTGGGCCTCTTAAGCCTGTGTCATGTATGCATGGTTTGGGAATTGGACAGAGTTTATATACAGAATGTGTGGTTCTTCCTTTCTGAATCTCTCTTCTCCTGGATTCCGGCCCTCATTTTCCAAAGGCTGGGGTGGGCTCAAACTCTATTCTTTGATTCTTCAGGCCAGAAGGACTGCAGATTTTCTATCATTTTATCTGCCCTGTGTGACCTGACTTTGGCCTATCTTCCGGCTAAAAGCCATAACAAAATGGGAAAGTCAACCTAGGCATTCACTTTTTCCAAATGTTGACTCCTCTCCAGAAACTGCCTGCTTTTGTTCACTCTACAGGGCCTTCAGGTAGTTGTTTTCAAGTTTTGTTTCATAGTTGTCTTCAGGAGTTTGTCTAGGAGTTTTTCCAGATGCTTACTGAGCTGCCCTGGAAATGGAAATGTCAGGAGTTTCATTTTAGACAGCTTAAGTTTGAGAAGTCCATTAGACATCCACATGGAGATGCTCACTAGCCAGTTGGAAATGCACCTGGGTTTTGGAGAGAAATCACTTAACGTTTGGCATGATCTCGGTGGTGTATGGAGTCGTGGGAGTGGGTGAAATCAACCAAGATGTGAGTCTCCCTGCAGAAGAGAAACAGGCCCAGAATGAAACCCAGGTGTACCGTAGTGCTCAAAGATCAGCATGAGGAGGAAGAATTAACGAAGCAAGTGAAGTGAGAGTGGACAATGAGGAAAGAGAACCACCAGGAGAGTGTTGACTTGAAGTCCAAGTGAAGAAAGTATTTCAAAAAAGGCAGAGTAGTCAACTGTATCAAATGCTGCAGATAATGATGAAGATTAAGAACTGGCTTCTGGACTTAAGAACACAAACGTCATTGGTGAATTGAAGAATAACTGTTTTGTTCAAGTGGTTGAGTCAGAACTCACTGAAATGAAGAACTGGAGTCCAGGAGCATGGAGAAATCTTTCAAGGAATTTTACCATCAAAGAGAGAAGAAAAATGAGATTGAAGCTGGAGGGGGATATGACATAAAGAGAAATTTTGTTTTGATTTTTGACATTAGGAAAAATTATCCCATGTTTGTATTCCAAAGTATGGAATAGTTGAGAAGGAATAATTGGTGTATCAAGAGACAGGGGATAGGACTCTGTGTAAAGGGGAGAGTTGGCCTTAGAATCACGAGCAGCTCATTCATAGCAACTGGAGGCAAGTAGAGAAGCTGTTGCATATTAGATATGATGAGAGTGGGGAGGACTGTCATGAGAGGATGCAGAATAGGGGGAAGTCAAAGCAGCAGCAGGCCAAAGGAAATCTCCTTTATTTTATTTATTTCTTTATTTTTGGTGAGGAAGATTGGCCCTGACCTAACATCTGTTGTCAATCTTCCTCTTTTTTGTTTTTTTATTTATTTTTTTTAAAGATTGGCACCTGAGCTAACAACTGTGGCCAATCTTTCTTTTTTTTTTTCTGCTTTATCTTCCCAAATCCCCCCTGGTACATAGTTGTATATCTTAGTTGCAGGTCCTTCTAGTTGTGGCATGTGGGATGCCGCCTCACTGTGGCCTGATGAGCAGTGCCGTGTCTGTGCCCAGGATCTGAACCAGCAGAACCCTGGGTCGCTGCAGCAGAGCATGTGAACTTAACCACTTGGCCACAGGGCCGGCCCCCAATCTTCCTCTTTTTGCTTGAGGAAGATTGTCTCTGAGCTAACATCTGTGCCAATCTTCCTCTATTTTATATGTGGGACACCACCACAGCATGGCTTGATGAGCAGTGTGTAGGTCGGTGCATGAGATCCGAACCTGCAAACCTCAGGCCACCAAAGTGGAGTGTACGAGCTTCACTACTACGCCACCGGGCCAGGAAATCCCCTTTATTTTTTTAGCCAATTTGTGTTGGATTTTGTGTTGCTTAGAACCAAAATCGTCCTAAATGATAAATTCAGTTGTTATAAATCTTTCAAAAGTGAATTGTCATAGACCCTCTGGAGCATTATTATTTATGAGAAATGACTACAAAGCAGTTAACTTTCATTTTAATAGACAGATCATAAGTTCTGAGTCCAAATGGGTTTTGCCATTCTTTCAAAAACTTCTGGGAGGCTATTCCAAAGAGTATTGCCACAACTCAAAATATCTTTGGACTCTGTTTTGTTTTAAATTGCTTTTAAAATCTGAGTTACATGTTTTGAATTCCCTCAAAGATGACAAATTGTGACCTTTTGTTGGTGGATTTGGTATTGGAAATAGATAAAAACTAGTTGGAATTGAGTCTAACAAATGCCTTTTTAGGTTAAAACTTGTTTCACAGAAGTCCAGTGTAATCTGGAGCCTGAGCATGGAAAAGAAAGCAGAGTCTGTCCTTTTGGAGTAAAAAGCATCTCTTGGATGCCTCTTGGTAAGCCTGACCGTTCAACTTTGTGGAATATTTTCAGCAGAAACCATACTGATGTCAAGGAAAACGGTCGATGTGAACTTCATTTCTGACACGCAGGAAGTTAAATTTTCTACTTGGAGGCTGTATTTCAAAGTCTCAGTGGGGACACTGGTCGTCACTCAGACGTGTGTGATGCGAGAGAGCCACAGAAGGGCCTGCTCTTCTCGCTTATCTTTCACAGCACGTCTGCATCTTCCGCTAAGCTAAAGTGACCGGCAGGCATTTCGACTGCTAATTTTCCTGAAAACTTTATGTTCTTCTGAAGAAACTGCTCAAGCAGTGTTTGGAAGTGTAGAGTGAGAACTGGACTAGGAATCAGAAAACAGGGCTCAGTTTGGGCTCTTCCATTTGTTAGCCATGTAACCTTGCATGAGAAACTCATCTGAGAAGCAATTTCCTCATCTATAAATAATAGTAATTCATAGTCCACCCTGCGAGATTAAAAGGGAAAGTTTAGGAAAGCCCCCAGCAGCCTGTAGTAAAGGAATCATCTTGCTCAGGTTCAAGTCCTGGCTCGAGGATACTAGCTGTGTGACCCCAGGCAAGTTACTTAGCCTCTCTATACCTCAATTTCAGTATAAAACAGAGGTAATAACAGTACCCGCCCAACGGATTTTGTATCAATCAGGGTTTAGTGCAGAAAGCATCAGAGAAACAGTTTCTGCCCTCCTTCCTCATTCCAAAACTCAAGCAAGTGCCTCTAATTGGTGGAACCTAATTCATAGCCAGAGCCTCGGCTGCAAGCTGCTTTCCAGCCTCTGCAGTGGGAAGGCACCTGGAAGGAGGATGGGACGGGGGCTGTGGAAGCCAATCCACACACACCAACCAAGTTATCATGAGGTTGAAGTGAGATAATATATGTAAGGGCTTCGTAGGTGTTCAACAAATGTCGGTCACGGTTAGTTTCAGCAAATAGCTGGTGCTTGAAATATGTTTGTTTATTCGTTCAGAATGAACCAGAATATAGTCTACTCTGTCTGCACAAAGAGCAACCCTTTACCCTGTGGACCCAGGTTTTTGTGGACCCAGGTTTTTCCACAATACACTACAGGCCTGGGTCTCCCTATTTCAATCAATATAATTTAGGCTTTAGACACAAGTGTCTGGTCTACGGTGAACTGTTGCTGCCCTTCGTTTCACATGCGGGTGGGTGGGGGTTGGTTGAATGAGGAAGAGGCAGGAGGGAGATGTGCTTTTCACTTGCATTGAGAAGGGTCTACATTCTTTTGTGCCTTTGAATTTTGTAATATGTCCATATATTACCTATTCCAAAAAAAAAAAATGTAGAAAAATTTGAGTGTTTGAAGCATTTGCTGATTTATTCTTGGCATTTGACTTCAAGACAAGTTCATCCTGGGATCAAGCTGCATGAACCATACAGCATCCTGGCTTTTAATCCCCATTCAAGGCACTTGCCATGAATCAGAGTGGGTAGAAATGGGAGGTGACAGAACAAGCTCCAACATGAAAGGCAAAAGAAATGGGAGGTGAGAGAACAAGTTCCAGCATGAAAGGCAAAAGTCTTTGTATAACTCTGCCCCAGCTCCAGTTCTTGTAAAATGACATCTACACCTAGTCCAGCCCTTAGGTGAGTGACAGCAGAGTACTTCTGCCGTACGAAACTGATGGCCGGGGTGTCTTCCAGGGGAGTCCTTGAGGAGCAGCTGCTCCTGGTGGCCAGTTACTACAGGGAGAACAGCCCAACACAGCTCTGCCACAGGCCACACCATTGTTCCTGTTTAGGTCCATTCCTTCAGTTTGCAGATAATAGTAAGTATTTCTATTCAACAGATAAGTAATTCAGGAGCCTGGAGGGAGAGGGTATGGACTATGCAGCTAATTCTATGCCGTAACTCAGGCACCTACACAGTGTTGGGTGAAAGGAATGAAGGGGCTGAGATGGAAGGGTCAAGGGAACAGATCAGGTCATGGGCAGACTCCAGAGGCATCATGGGTGCAGACGCTGCCAGCTCAATCCTGAGCTGAGGTGAGAAGTGTGGGCAATATGAAAGTGTCAAGATGGTGGCTGTCATCACGGAGAGGCATGTCTACAAGTGGCAGGACACTCAGGGGAATGATCTCATTCAAGAAGACTGACAGCATCTTCCTGAGGAAAGCCTGGGATCTGCCCGTGCCTTCTGCTGCTGCTTCTTCAGTCAGGGAACAGAGCCCGTCAGAGGTTCATCCTGGACCTGGCTGTCACCTTGTTCCAATCAGGACTGCACTCGGTTGGCATCTTGCTCTGAGCCTGACCTGATAAAATTAATCTGAGACAAGATTCGGCCCACGGAACAGGGGTGCTCCCACTGGAGAGCTCCACTAGGAGCTTTCAAACTATTTTTCACCAATTTTACATCACAATTCAGTGCTCACACATATTATATATGTACTCACCCATTATTGAAAAAAACTTTAATGAAACAGTTTGAACGAATTACTTGTAACGTACTTTGATATTTTTCTTTTTTTTTTTAATGCTAGTTACAACCAACCAAATTGATTTCATAACTCAATTCAGTTCAAATGGGTTCTAACCAGTAGTTTGGAAAACACCACTTTAACCATATAAACTAATCAGGTCTGGTCTGTCTGATTCTCACAGGGTGGTGAGCCACAGGAGGGTCCCAAGAAGTCTCATAACAATTGATTTTCTGGGCCTATCTATCCATTCCCATAGTTGTGCATACATGAACTTCAGAGCACATTTATGTAAATGTACACTTTATCCTCCTCAACCTGACCTCAAACTTTTCTGCAAACCGAGAGCCACAAGGCTGAACTTGCCACTTCATTCTTTGCTTCTCTGATCCATTACAGACAGCGCTCCACTTAGTCCCTGTGGTAGTTAAAGTATTCGGATCAAAGAATGTTAGAGGTGAGAGAGACCTGAAGACTCATTTAATACAACCACCCCTTTGATGCATCTCAGACTCCAGTCTCTGCTTGCATTCCTCCAGAGACAGAGAGCTCACAACTTATTGAAGCAGCCCTTTCCATCTTTGGACAACAGTAATTAAACCAAGATTTGTCTTCCAATGGTTTCCATTTCTTAGTTTTTGTCTCAAAATTAGTGAGTCAATGCATATTCTTGGAACAATGCCTGGCAGAGTAAGCACTAAAGATTTCTCCCTAGTATTATTAATAGTCTCTGTGCACTAAGGTGCATTAACAGTAGTAACTAACTTTGCTCACATGACTGTCCTTTTATATTCAAAGGAGGGCATCACGTTGCCTGGGTCTTCTCCCTCCTCTGTAAACATCCCCAGTTCAGTCCGTCCTTCCTGGCTTGGCATGGTTTCCTGACCCTTCACATCCAGCTCGCTGTCCTCCTGATGCAGGTGGGTCTCTAACAGGTTGGTGCTTCTCTGAAAACACAAGCCTTCAGAATTGGACACCAGCCTCCTCATGCAGGACACCAGGGCGGAGAACAGAGGCTCTCACCTCCTGTGACCTGAGTGCTTGGTGACTAACAATGCTGCCCAAGATTACAAATAGCCCTCCTCAGAGCAGAGAGTGGCCTGCAGGCACAAATAATGGAGGAGTAGGAGGGGTGGCACCCCTCCCTCCGGAGCACATTCCCTTGGGGAAATCAACAAGCTGGCATCCTGGGAGGAACCAGGCCTGCAGGAGAATGGACACCCAGGAAGAGCTAAATATCTGCAGGCTGCAGCAGGTATCTCAGACTCCAATACCACAGGGAGAGGAGGCAGCACTGGGGCCCAGAGGAGCCTGGGCAGCACGTGCTCCAGCTAAGGGGGGAAGCAGTTGCTCTGCTCAGGCCAGTTATTGTCACGCAGGAATGTGGGCCCTCGTGTTTCAAGATCGCGCACGTTTTCAAAAGAAGCCAGAAATAGGAAGTTTTAAATATAGAATCATCCTATTTTAAAATGTCAACTAATTCAAAAATTTTTTCAAAATGTTGTGTGAGGCAGCAGTATCTGGGCTAAACCAAACCACTGCTACCCTCTGTTCTCCTTTTGGACCTCTGTCATCTACCTGGAGAGTTGGGGCGGCTGGGGCTGGGTGGACCCTGGTCACTGGCCCACCCACCTTTTCTTCCAGTCTCTCCAAGCAGCCAGGGCCCAATTTGGAACAGCTGCTCTGTGATCTGGGCAGCCGGAGGGAGCTTACCTGAGTCTCACACCAGTGTTTTCTGGGCAGGTGGAGAGAGCAATCGAGCCTGGATTACCACCTGGCGGAAGGCGTCATCCACCCCCACCACAGGGGCAGGAACACTACTGCCTGTGAAGAATCCACCTGCTTGCTGGAGGAGGAGGAAATCAGGCTTTCCTTGGCCTCTGGCTTCCTGAGTGACTTCGGACTCTCCTCCCGATGGCTCTGTTTGCTGATCTCTTTGCAAAGCAGTGAACCAGGAAGTGTTTGTGTGTTTTCAGATGTAAAACATGCAATGGCAGGGTCAAAATGTGGTTGCTTATAAAATTTTACGCTCATTTTGGGATCCACAGACTCATAGACTTTTAGAGCAAAAGGGGACCTTTCAACCAGCTAGCTGACCAAATCAGGTAAACTGAGGCAGAGAGTAATTTGCCTAAAGTCTTGCTGCTGGTTCCCTGGCTTCTCCCAGTGCCTTGGGAAAATGAACTGTAGCATCCCACCCACTCGCACCCTTCAAGCCAGCCTGAGCAACTCACCTTAGAGATATTACTAAAATTTTTTATATTACTTTATTTTAAAATAGTAATAAAATTTTAATAAGTATTATATGCAAAACATGAAATAATGTGAGTTTCCAAAAGGTTTAAAAATTCTTCGCAAATTGCATAATCTGAAATCTGGTCCTACAAGTGAATTGTAAACTGTTTATGCTTTGCCACATGGTTAATACAACTTTAGCTGGTAAACAGAAACTACTACCATACGTTGTCCGGAGTGATTTTAGTTTACAAGCGCTTTAAAATGTGCAGGTTTTCAAAATGCGTCTTTCGCATCCAGTGAACTGCCTGGTACTCCACTGAACGGGTCTTACTGTTCTCCCAATTGGACCAAAGCTGCTGAGGCCTGAGAGCTCTTGGGGATGCGGGAAACATCACTGGCTGCCTTCTCAACAGCCATTCCTCTTTTTTACCTTGTGAGTAGAATCCCAATTTTGTTTAGCTGTTGGTCCACAATATGTTCAAGGAGCCCTAAGAGGTGAGTTGTGCTTGGTCCAGGCCAGTGATGATAATCTCATCTCCTTTGGCAATGATTAGTTTAAGAGTAGTGATGATGTGGCCCAGTTCTACCCAGTGAGATATGAGGAGGAGTCAGCTGGAGACCTCTGGGAAAGATTGCCTGTGACAAAAACAGACATACACCAAAAAAGCTGCAATTTCTTTCTACCTTTGGACATTGTTATGTAAAAATGGGATGCTTGGAGGTGTGGCAGCCATTTTGCAACCATAAGGGAAAGCAAAGAGAATGATAGAGAACACCTACTACATGGCAAGTTGAAACATGTGTTTCATGGCAATAACAAAGAGACAAAGAAGAAAAAGACGTAGGCACAGAAAGATGAGGCATATAGAGCCAGACCTCCCAGCAAGTCAGGACTAAAGCTGGAACAACATCAGGCTCCCACTCTTAGTCCCTGAGCTCTTTCTCCTTTGCTGGGTTTGTAAAAGAAACACATGTACTTGGAGTGGGAGCAGAGGACATTCAGAAGGTGTGGGGATGTTAGGGGCCCAGAGTGTCCTGTGCACACTGAGGGGAGCATTTGGGACTGTCCTACATGTGCCACATACCACAACAAATGTGCTCTGGAGAAGACACAAGATGTTCATTGTGCCCCACAGGTAATGTATGGAGTTCTGTGATAATGTGAACCCCCCGCCCCGGCCCTGGAAATTAAGCCATTCATCAATTCACTCAGTCATTTCACAAATTTGCAAAATGCTGACTTTGGGCCCCACCTTGTGCTTCTTCTTTAGAGGATGCAAAGAAGCAGAACACAGACTTGCTGCCTCTTCGGAGCTTGCAGTCCTGGATAGGGAGAGGAATCATGCCTGCAAATAATTAGGAACCCAGGCAGGACCAATCACATACCAGATGAAGGGACCAGGCAGCCAAGGCTTGGCGGTTCAGAGAGGGGAGTTGTCCCTGGGACCTGGGCAGTCAGGAAGGGCTTCATGGAGGTGAAGGGCAAGAAGACGAAGGAGTCAGATGCTGGAGGTTTGGGGCCCGGAAGACAGGGAGAACAGAGACCCTCAGACAGAGTTTTGGATGTCAGGAAAAGGAGCCTTCATCCTACTTCTTCCTTACGCCAATGGGGGAAGTTCACATTCTAGGTATGAATCTACCCTCGAATTCATGGCTTCCTCCATTTCAACACATTCTTATTCAGCAGCCACTGGCAAATGGGGTTATAGAGAGGCATCCCTCAAGGAGCTCTGCGTCTGTGTTCAGGCAGACCTGTGATCATCCAAAGACTGGAGATAAGTGCTGTTACTGGGGGAGACATGGAGTGCCACCTGGCTTGGCCAAAGGAGGGTCACCAAGGAGGGAAAGGGGAGTGGCGGGGTGGTTTTTCAGGGACACAGATTGCAATTTATCTTGGGGTTCTGGGGAATCCTCGAGGCTGTGAAGGCTGCTGGCCTGCTGATTAACTCATCCCCCACTCAACTTTCCAGTAAGGTCCCGTCCCCTTGGACAGGAGCTCAGCCTTGCCTCTTTGTATGGATGGCACCCTTGATTGGTCTGATCATTTTAGTCTCTCATTCCAGAGGAAGGGGGCTGAAGAAGGCGAGACTCTGCTTCACCACCCTGAGCAGAGTCTTTTTGCTTTGAGTTGGATGGACATCTGAAGTAGACAGCTATTGTCTGGGGGCAAGGAAGAGTGTGACAGGACAGTGTGGCCCCATCCTCCTCACATGTTCCTTTGTAGGCAGAGCTTGAAGTTTACTGGGAGGAGGTGGGCGGTTGTTCAGTGTCCCTGAGCTGCCTCAGGAGCCTGCCTCCTGCTCATTGGGGCCCTTCAACATTAACATCTCTAATGGATGGAGGTGGCTCCATCTGAGGTCAACTGGTGGGAGAGAACATCAGGGGCCTTGAGAAGGAAACTCCCTTAGTGTGGCATTCAGTCTTCATGGTACAAAGAGATGAGACCATGTTGAGTGGCCAAGCTGGTGAGGCAGGATCCATGGGCTACAGGTTCTTTGGTCATTGTTGGGGATCATCTCTGCTCAGCCAGGCCCATTCCTGCCCAAGGTCATTGTGCTGGAGGGACAGGAGGCACCAGGAAGTGGCCAAAGTGGTCCAATGCACTGAGATGAGGTGTGGGACAAGATGGTGAGCTGGCCTTGTGGCCAGAAGACAGGTGCTGGCCTTTGTTGTCTTTGGGGCATCTCCAACAAGAGGGAAGTTGTTTTTCCCAGGGTGAGTCATTAAGGTCCATCAGCAATTTCCATTTCCATTCAACAAATACCTTTTCTATAAGACCCAAAGGGGTACAAAAGGAGCTCCTGCTTTAGAGGAATTTGGTACTTATAATAGGTGGCCAATTTGGGTGCTGACAGAGAGACCAAAAATGTTCTAGAGCTTCAAAGGAGAGTGAGATCATAGGATCATAGGCAGTGGGAAGGGACTGGAAACAAGCTCCAATAGTAAACATTCCTGAGTCCCTGCCAGGAGCCAGGTGCTGTGCTGAGTACTTTATATCCCTGATTTCATTTAATCTTCCGCCCTCTGAGGTATGGATCATCCTCTTCTTTTATAGACTGGGGAACAGGCTCAGAAGACATGAAGTGACATTCCTAGGGGCACAGAGCTGGAAAGTGGCCAAGCAGAGACTAAGCTCAGATGTCTTCGACCCCCAAGTGCATACTAATATGCATGTTATGTGGCTGCCCCATGAGACAGGTGGGGTCTGAGATGAGTCTGGAGGGTGGGAAGGAACTTGTCAGATGAAGACAGGAGGAGGGCATTCCATGCTGAAGGTATGGCCTGAGCAAAGATGCAGAGACAGTGTGGTACCAGACATGTGTGGTTTAGCTCAAAGGGAGTCTTCTAACATAAGGCCAGAAGAGAAAGTTTAGGCTCATTGCGGAAGGCCTTGAGGGCCGAGGGCCAGGGGCTTGTGCCCCTTCCAGAGGCCACAGGAATCACTGCAAGAGGGAAGAGGCCCATTCTGGCAGCACTGAGGAAAAGCCCAATGATGAAGAGAGGAAGTGATGACAGAGAAGGGAAGAAGCAAACTAAGACTGTGGAGGCAGGAGGGCATGTTGGAGAGTGGGCTGGAGGCAAGAGGAAGAGGGGAGGAGTGGCCTCCCTCATGTGGGCGGTGGAGTGTTCTCAGACAAAAGCAGCCCAGGGAAGCTTGTCCTGGGCTGAAGGTGCAGCAGGCAGACCTCAGGGAGAAGCCCAGCAGCACGCTCCACCCTGGGGAGGAGCGCGAGGGGCCTGGTGTGAGGCTGACGGGAAAAGGAAGAAAGGGGCCTTGTGAATGGTCAAGGTGAGAAAACGACCCTCTGTTGATTTGGTTGGAGGGATGCAGGGACAGCACCTGGTGAGAAGCACACTGTCCATACTCGAATATTTTCCTCAGACCCTGATCTTGCTATGATGTGCTGGGAGTCTGTGAGTCCATGTATCTTGGTGAGAGCTGAGGCAACTCTTGGGGGAGCAGGTTCCTACAGGACGGTATCTGCTTTCACTTGTCCCATGTGGCATTGGACCTGTGGTGCTGGCTATGTGCTGGACCAGGGTCTGCACAGGGGACCAGGGTGTGTGCCCTGGACCCAGGCTGAAGTAGCCATGCCCACACCATCCCATCTCTGGGAATCCCCAGCTCGTCTAGTCAGACCTACCAGGTCAACCCTTTGTCTGTTGGCACGTGGCTTACCTCCATGGCTTTGCTCAAGCTCCTCCAGTTAGCACACATTACTTCTTCCAGACCTGGCTCAAGGTTTACCTACTCCAGGCAGCCTTCCCTCAGGAAAAGCCCTCACGCTGCACTCGGCAGCTTGGTGTACACTTGTATGTTCTTTCCTCTTACTTACAGTCTCTAGACTTTATTTTTCCTGTATGTTCATCTTGTCTCCCCAAAGAGATGATAAGGTCTTTGAGGGTAGCGATCAAATCTTATGTCTTTCTTGTCTTCCACATACCGCCTAAAATTGGCTCGCAGAAGGCTCAACACTCACAGAACATCAAATGGGTGGGAATTCCCTTCCACCCACACATGGGCCCTGGGACTCTAGGAATGTCACCCCAAAACATACCCAGAGGATGTGGGGAGACACAGGGGGAGCAGAGCCAGGGAGGAGCTGAAGCACACCTCCACCATGATGGTTCTGTAGAATGATGCTCAGCTTGGGGGGACCTTGGTGATGGTCCAACGCTCTTACTCCACTGACGGGCAAAGAGAAATCCCAGGTGGGGCATAGGTGCCCAGGGGCCCGGTCCTGAGACAAGGCTCTGAGGAACACCACTAAAATCAGCAATGACCCCCTTTGCTAAAACCCAGATTTCCAGCCTCAGATTTTTGCCCCATTTTGGAAAATGCTCTTCTCTCCATGACACTTCTCTGGCCAGCTTTTCTTTATCTCCTTTGTCATTTTTTCTTCTCTATCCGGCCACTAAATATCAGAGTTCCTCAGGATTCAGTCAGTGGATTGTTCTCTTCCCCCCTCTATCCTCTCTCCCTAGGCAGACATCCCACCACAGTTGGAATGACCACATCCAACTCCCGCCTGGCTCTGGCCCAGAATTCTCTTGAGTTTTCGATCCATCCACCTTCCTGCCTCTTTAGCAACTTTTGTGTGTCTGTCCTAAAGGCACCTTACACTCAATGTGTCTGAAACTGAGTTTATGACTTCCCTTAGCATTCTTTCAAAAAACCTCATCCCTGCCCAGTGACCCCTACTCAGTGCAGGAACCGCCC